CCTTTGTTAAAGTCAGCAAGGCAGCTGACCGGGTTAAGCTAGCGGCTATTAGCTAGTCAGCTAAACCAAAAATGGCTAATTAATCTTTGCTTATAGGAGCCTACATTTTATCAAACCGTTCAACACTAAACTAAAGAAGTCATAGTTTAATATTTTACCGTCAACTGACCAGACTAATGGTTACTGAGTTTACATTTTGTAATACTAGTTTGAGTTGAGCTATCCATTAGCATGCTATCTAGCTACCAATTAGCCCAGTAGGAAGGTTATCTCTGACCTCTAACCTGCTGGAAGTTAGAAAAAACAACAAAAGCCAATATAATTATTTATGACTGTTGTGTTTATTAGGCTAACAGAGTAATTAGCACTTCCACCAGCTTTAGCTTAGTTGGCTAAGTTAGCTACCTAAAATCTGTGCTAGGTAGGCTAGCACCTGCTTCTTTGCCTTGTAGTATTTAGGGTTGAGGCAAAGCGAGTGCAGGTGACCAGAGATGCTATAGATAACTGTAAAATAAGCTAATTTCACCACTAGCTTCTCTTCTGGTTCTGATGAATGTCAGCGTTCAGGTTAATCGGGTTTATAACGTTTATTGTTGTTCTGGGTAGAAATCCTAAAGTCAGAATAGAGTCAATATGTGAACGTAGACGTTTGTCATCAACCATAAATCCTTATTTTAGCATCATTTAGGAGAATCACCTGGTAAACATGTGAAATTACAGCTGATTAAATGTTCAGGTGGCTTCATTTCTAGAAGAGTGGCGGCCTAGTGGTCAGGGTACAGAGGTTCTGAGCCCCACTGCCACTGACTGCCTCTCTGGGTCCCTGAGCCAGACCCTTAACCCCACACTGCTCCCCAAGGGGAGGGGTTAAATGCAGAAAGAGAATTTCTCCAATGTGAGATGAATAAAGTTCAGTTATTATTAGTGAAAGTTATTGTGGTCGTTCAGCTGGATGACGTCACCTACAGGTTTTATAAACCGCCATGTCTTCCTCTCTGTGCCTCCAGCAGATGGTCACCACAGCGGAGACCCCTGGAGCAGCAGCGGCAGCACTATGAGCCAGCAGGGTTACCACAGCAGCATGCTGGGGGGCGGGAACTCAGCACACGGCCCCGCCCAAGGCTCCTCCTACTGTGGGATCCATCCTCATGACAGACTGGTGAGCTGGGGGGGTCACTACTGTGGTTCAGGTGAAAAGAACCAGGCTCTGCAGCGAGGCTAACCTTTTCCTTTCTGCAGAGCTACCCTTCACACTCATCAGCAGACCTCAGTTCCAGCCTCCCCCCCATGTCCAGCTTCCATAGAGGGGGGGGCGGCGGAGGCGGAGCCAATCACTACAGCACTGCCTCCTGTACCGCCGCGACCAACGGCACAGACAGCGTCATGGGTAAGAAATGGGTGGGATCGTCCCCGGCAACCTGCCTAGCAACAGATGTGGATTTGTAGAGATATAAGCAAGTGATGGAGCTCCACCCATCACCTCTGACCACATTAAAAGTT